AGCACTAGTCCCCCCACCCTCTCCCTCCACAGAGCACTAGTGCCCCACCTTTGCTCCCCCAAAAAGTATCAGTGCTCCCTCACACTGTCACTCTACAGAGCACCAGTCCCAACACACTTACCTTATACAGAGCACCAGTGCGTCCTCACTTTCCCTCCACAAAGTATCAGTTCTCCCTACACTCTCCCTCCACAGGGAACCAGTACCCCTCACTTTCCTTCCACAGAGAACCAGTGCCTCCACCCTTGTCACCGAATACTCTGTATTCTCAACAGATGAAAGGCATCGGTGCTGATTGCTTACCAACTGACTTAGCGTGCTGCCCACCATCCAGCTATTACAAACTCATGAATTAATATTGTGTGGTGGCAGTGGCACTGTTTTCCATTGTACTGTTGTATAGAGTGTGAAGAGGTGGTGGAATCAATCTATTCTTTGTCATTTGAACTCTTTGTACTAATAAATTATTTGTATGTTTAGACAAGTACTCCTCCCTCTAATACCACTTCCCTGCTCACCAATTATATTGCTTTTCAGTTTGTGAATACCGGACTCACAGCCCTCTGGAAGCCTCTAAATACTCCAACTATACATTTATCTTATCTCTTCGTTCTTCCTGTACAATGTCCATCCTGCCTTATTGTTGTCACCTTGTACACTACTCATTCTGTCTGATCATTGCCTACCTGTACATTACCCATCCTGCCTTATCATTGCCTACCTGTACATTACCCATCCTGCCTTATCATTGCCTACCTGTACATTACCCATCCTGCCTTATCATTGCCAACCTGTACATTACCCATCCTGCCTTATCAGTGTCTTTTTGTACACTAGTTATCCTGTCTGTCTATCTGTGAACTACTTATATTGCATGCTTCTTGTCTATGTGTGCACTACTCATTCTGCCTGAATGTGGTCTTCCCATCCTGCCTCATAATGTTCATCCTTTACCTTTCTTTCCTACCTAATCATGGTCTTCCTGTACACCACCCATGTTTCCTGTTCATTGTCTACCAATCCTGCCTGATCATGTCTTCCTGTACACTAATGATGCTGCCTGTTCATTGTCTATCTGTGCTCTACCCATCCTGCCTGATCTTTGAATTCATATACACCACCCATTTTGCCTAATAATTGTCATCAGTACACTACTCCTCCTACCTGATAAATGTCTTCCTGTATACTACCCATCCTGCCTAAATGTTGTCTTCTGTACTCCTCCTACCTGATAAGTGTCTTCCTGTATACTACCCATCCTGCCTAAATGTTGTCTTCTGTACTCCTCCTACCTGATAAGTGTCTTCCTGTATACTACCCATCCTGCCTAAATGTTGTCTTCTGTACTCCTCCTACCTGATAAGTGTCTTCCTGTATACTACCCATCCTCTCTAAAAACTGGTTTATGTACACATCCATCCTGCCTGATAATTGCCTTCTTGCACATATTAATTCCTGTACATTATACATCCCTCCTGGCCCACTCTGTTCTCTTATGTTATTGGTATACTCTTCGTCTACACCACCCCTATGCCTCACGCCTGATTATCTTGTCTGTAGAATGGGGTGTGTTTTAGGAAGAGGAAAATAACTGGAACAAAGAGCGAGTTCAGTTTGAAAGTGTTTGAAAATGTTTATTTCACAGATTACTTACTGTACATAATTTGACTCCATTGTCAATAAATTTACTGACACTTCCACTCATGCAGCAATAAAAATACATACACTGTACATGCCTGTGACAACCCCAGCCACCATACATGTGACCTGTCCCTCACTACATGATGGGCATCGCCACAAAGGCGGGTGCCTCCTCTCTTTAACACAGCGAGCTAATCTGGCTCTTACTGCACCCCCATTTACAGCATGTGTTGGACAAACCCAATGCCGCTTCCCTTCCCCTTCTCTCCACGCCCCTTAGGGAGTCCTCCGATGACGGTGCTGCCCCATGTCTTCCAACAGATGATTCTCTCCAGCTCTGGGGGGCTCCATAGTCCATTATGTCACTGTTGTGAGAGCGCAAGTTGCTTGCCCACTCGCTGAACACCTCATCCTCTTCTGAGTCTACGTCTGTGGATCCTAGGTTCCCAAATATCTCCGTGGGGTCCCCTGGAATACATAGACAACCATATGATCCCCACATATATATTTATATATACTGTAGCACAGCACCACATGCCCTTAACACAGAAGTCATATAATTGGTTGGGAAGCGTTGGGACGACATAACAACAATGACATTGTCTGACCACAGGTCTCCATCCCTTCCCAAAAAGTTATACCAAAACTACGACTCTCTGGTGCCTGATATCTTCAGCTATATTCAGAATGTATTTCACATTATAAAGCACCCATCAGGGGGGAGTATAACACCACTACTTAACTTTGTACTGTCCACAACAGCTGGGCAAGGCTAAGAATCCTGGTGGTATAACTCACCGATTCAAACCTTTGGGGTCTATTTATAAACAGCAAACACGACCCTTTGCCCTGCGAATATCTGTGAATGTTCACTTTGATAATGCCAAAAATTAACATTCTTAATATATTTTATTTCCATTTTGAATATATTGTGATGTAATTCTACATTATGGCCAATTGATGGAGCCGAGGACCATAGGAAAGACATACTTATCTCCCGTACTCATCAGCTCCATCTAGTGGCCATAATGTAGTATTACATCACAATGCATTAAACTGAAGAAATAATAATATACTGTGTGTATCTATCTATCTATCTATCTATCTAGAATATAGATAGATAGATAGATAGAACGTTTGTTTTTGACATTATTCACCCAGAATAAACATTCACAGGTATTAAAAGGTTGAAGGTCCCTGTGAGTCGTTTATAAATAGCCCCTAAATGTGATAAAATTACAATGTGCAATGATTGATCGCAGCATTCGTAACATTAAAATAATGTTGGCACGGTCTATAAATAACTTTGTTATCCTTATTTATTCCCATTGGAAAGTTCTCTGACCGTTGAGACAAAAGACAGAAGGACTTTCTATAGCAATGACTACAGACGAAGGTGCACATGCATGAATGAAGCAGAACCCAACTAGGGGAGGTTTGAAGAGGCTGCGTGATTCTTGGTGGTCTCGGAGAAGAGGGGACAGCAACTGTCCATTAAGTGCTGGGTCTACAAGACAGAACTGCACCAAAATACATATTTCTGTAGCTAGAGGACACAGCTTCACATCACAGTTTCCCAAAATGTTGCTTGCCGTGTGAGACCTGTGTCCAGCCGTAAAATAACATTATACTAAGAAGGCTGGTACATTGCGTAAGCTAGAACAAGCACATATGCAGGCCGTGCTTCCTGAGTGCCGTACCATGATTGTGCTTTACTGTCCGTCTCTCTCACTGCAAGTCTACCAGTCATAGCTGACTGATTGACAACAATGCACTCCATGTAGCTGAGGACAATGCACTCCATGTAGCTGAGAGGTTATCTCAGCAGGCTGAATGGCTTTAGGTTAAAGAGTCACTAGATGGAGATTCTACAAACCTGTGAATGGAAATGTAGAACGGCAATCAAATAAGAATGAGTTACATCAATGATGACATTCAGGTAAATATTACAATAAGTCTATATGCTGTATGTGCTCATATGCGATATGCCACGTCACTGCTGTCTGTGACCCCCTTTGGGGAGATTATACCTCACTTCCTGTCCCCCGTGACAACAGGGCAAGAAATGAGATACAGGAAGACATAGACTGTAACAATAATCTGAGAGCACCTCTAACATTTCATTTTAAAAAGTGTTTTGTCATGTTCTGTGTCCCCAATGGGGAAAGTTTTGTTTCATCTTCTCCCAACAAGCATCTCCCTGGTCTTGTCTCCGCCCCCCTGTAGTTTCCTGTAGTGGGTGGAGTCTGATGGGCCCCTCCCACAGATCTGCTGTCTGCACAGCCTATGTACAGCACAGTGATGATGTCACTGCTGCATTTATATGGTAATATCTGGGATTGCAAAGGCATTTGCTGCACACAAAGTAGATTTACATCCTTTGTGACTATTGAGGATTACATTCTAAAGAAAAGTATTTCGTGCCCGGGGTTCAGCTTTAAATATCTGCTCCCCTTTACCAAACAACACCAAAGCCACTTAATTTTTGCTGCACATTAGGACTCCAGAAACAGTATCTACCTCCTGTATTTTCCGGCGTGGCCTGACCCCTGGAGTCTCACTCGTCTTGCTGCATTCTCCGTAGGAGAAAAGAAAAATCCATCAGCAAGCATGAGGCCACAGGTAGACCAACCTGGAACCTCAATAACAGAAGGCTGAGCTTATTTTATCCGATCTTAGCAATAAGAGTGTTCTACATATATATTGAGCCTCAAAGAGGACCTGTGAGACCCTCACTATGGGGCCAATGTATAAATCTTCCTCTCAGCTGGGTGAATGCTGTTCACATGGCACTACCGCCACTAGATGGCACTGAGGAGCACAGCAATAGATGTATAAATCAGCCCCTATGTGTCTACGTGAAGATCAATCACTGCAAGACACGTCAATCCTGAATCTAGCTCTACACTCAACAATGTCAGCTTCAATCGGAAGTTTCTTGTGCCGGATATTATATCAAAATATCAAAAAATGTTTAAAAAAAATACATTTTGGGTTAAAGTCGATGAATTCGAAATTGTATAAGATGTTCTAATATACTTACCGGCCTGCAGGGCTTCATTCCTCCTCCACCGGGACCCCCCGCAGGTAAAGATGACGGCCCGTATGAATTCCCTGCCGCACAGCTTCACTCCGATGTTGGGCACCCGGACACTGGCATGAGCTCCACCGTGCCAGGCCAGCAGCCAGAGGATCATAGTGAGGGCTGGCGTCAGGCGCTGCATGCTTGTCGGACCGGAGCGCACAGGTGGCAGGAGGGAGACTGAGCACCATCCGCCGCCGGCCACCTTCTTATAGGCAGGCGTCGCGGACCTGAGGCAGGAGATAAGGACCCTCGCTCACCGCCACCCCCTCCCCGGACCAGCCCTGAGAACAGAGATAACCTTTCAAAAGGATAATCAAGGGAGAATTATTCAAGGCTCGTCAGTCGGTGTAATCACCCTGACACATCCATGTCACCAAGAGATGAGCAAGAAGACTCAACTCTGCCGGATGGTACCGGAGGTGGTCCGGGTGGGGGGAGCCGGGATACAATGGAGTCTATTGGCCATTCACCAGTAGAATTAGGGTAAAATTTCATTTTCAAAACTTTGGCTCCATTTCTTAATGGTTAGTGGTAGTCCGGTAGTCGTAGTCTTCCTTAAAGGAGAACTATGGGGTTAAGGCTTTTCCTTATACTGAGACGCCGCAGCTGAAGCGCATCCCGACAATTATGCCGGGATCCGCCCAGCTGTGTGACTGACAGCTGGCTCTGCCTATCTAGAGGCAGAGCCAGCTGTACCTGCCCCCCTCCCCCGTCCGTTCCGCCAGTCAGCGCTGGCAGATCGGAGCGGGGAGGGGGGAATCCAGCCCCTCCCCGTTCCGGGCTGAGAGCCGTGACAGGATCGAGAGGTGAGCGAACGCCGGTATGTGTTCGCTCACCTCACGATCTATTGAGCCGACCTGTGACAGTCTCATTGTCACAGGTCGGCTAGAACTATGAGATGAGTGAAAAGCACTCACCTCATACTTCTCCTTTAAAGTAGTATTAAACTCTCATTTTTGCAACATTGGTTCAATTTTCTAATGTCGAGTGGTAGTAGTGTCAAGATTGAATCCAGATCAAGCAAATATACATTTCCCAGCATAGCATTGCTTTATATTTTTCCCCAAACACTTACAGCCATCGTGTTTCTGAACAGCTCCAACTCTCTCAGCTCGGGTTCCCTGAACTTCCTCTCCAGTACAAGATAACAAGGGACAGAGCAGACTACAGCAGATGTTCATGTACTAGACTGGAGAAGGGAAGAGGGAGGAGAAGAATGGCTTGCCTAGCTGTGCCTGTGTGTTTGTGACATGAGTTTACTTCTGTTCCAAATTGAAATTTGGAAAAAATGTCAGTAAATTCAGATATTCAGATGCCTCCAAATTTCAACTAATATGCATTTATTTTTCTAAATTTCGCCCGAATTTCCAAATTTCCTATTCTAGTGACTAGTATGGACTAAGATCACCAGCACAGACTAAAATGACTAGTAGGGACTAAGATGACCAGTATGGACTAAGAGGACCAGTATAGACTAAAATGGCCAGTATGGACTAAGAGGACCAGTATAGACTAAAATGACCAGTATGGACTAAGACTGGGTTCACACCTAGGCGTATAGAATATGCGCGTTCGTCGCGCGTCTCGTGTCACGCGTTTGTCGCTCGATTCGCGGTAAAAAAACGTGCGACAAACGCGCGTTTCCGAGGGCTACTTGGCTGTATCCCAATGGAAACGCGCGACAAAAACGCCCCAAAGAAGCTCCTGTACTTCTTTGGGCGCAGGACGTTTTGTAGCGCATTCATACGGCCTGTAATACGCCCAGGTGTGAACCATAGCCATAGGAAATAATGGGATTTCGGTGTTTGAGCATTTTGCAGAGCGTTCGAACCCGCTACAAAACGCCCAGGTGTGAACAGGGCCTAAGAGGACCAGTATAGACTAAAATGACCAGTATGGACTAAGAGGACCAGTATGGACTAAAATGGCCAGTATGGTCTAAGATGACCAGTAGAGACTAAAATGACCAGTACGGACTAAGAGGAGCAGTACATACTAAAATGACCAGTACAGACTAAAATGACCAATACGGACTTAGATGACCAGTACGGTCTAAAATTACCAGTATAAACTAAGATGACCAGTATGGAATAAAATGACCAGTACAGACAAAAATGACCAGTACGGAATAAGATGACCAGTACGGAATAAGATGACCAGTACGGAATAAGATGACCAGTACGGAATAAGATGACCAGTACAGAATAAGATGACCAGTGCGGAATAAGATGACCAGTGCGGAATAAGATGACCAGTACGGAATAAGATGACCAGTACGGAATAAGATGACCAGTACGGAATAAGATGACCCGTACAGATTAAAATGACCAAAACAACAAAAAATGTATTTAATTATTTTTTATTAAAGAGCCCCGACTGAAATCTGAACAATTGAAAATTTGGATCGGTCCGAACCAAAAAAAACAAAAAATTTGGATCGATCCGTATTCCGAATAACGAATGGAATACATTTTTTTTCAAAATCTGAAAAAGATTTTTTAAAACCTAAATCGGAAGGAAACAACATACATTTTTGGAGCCTATTTTGAGGAGACACACACAGCTTACTGGCACACACAAAGGTGGCTCCATAGGACCCCGCCACCTTAAAACAGGATATCAGGTCCACTGCTCAGGGGTTCTGTAGTCCGGTGAGATAACTGGGAACAATGCAAAGTGCAGAACAAGCATAGATTACAGGAAGTTATCATACCACACAGATTTCAGCTGCTGCTTAACTTGACTAGAGTAGTGGCGCGAGGTTTCACATCATTCACTTGCCTAATATTGATTAGGCTCACCTTTGGTTACCAAAACAGCCCTGACCCATCAAGACATGGACTCCACTAAACCTCTGAAGGTGTGCTGTGGTATCTGGCACCAAGCCAGCAGCAGATCCTTTAAGTCCTGTATGTTGTGAGGTGATCGACCTCCATGGATCGGACTTGTTCTTCCAGCACATCCCATAGATGCTTAAGTGGACTGAGATCTGGAGAATTTGGAGACCAAGTCATCACCTCACAATCGTTGTTGTGTTCCTCAAACCATTCCTCAACCATTTTTGCAGTGCAGCAGGGAGCATTATCCTGCTGAAAGAGGCCACTGCCATCAGGGAATACCATTTCCATGAAGGGGGGTACTTAGTCAGCAACAATGTTTAGGACGGGGTACGTGTCACAGTAACATCCACATGAATGGCAGGACTCGAGGTTTTCCAGCAGAACATTGCCCAAAGCATCACACTGCCTCCGCTGGCTTGTCTTCTTCCCATAGTACATCCCGGTGCCCTCTCTTCCCCAGGTAAGTGACACACACAGACCCGGCCATCCACATGATGTAAAAGAAAATGTGATTCATCAAACCAGGCCACCTTCTTCCATTGGTCCAGTTCTGATGCTCACGTGTCCATTGTAGGCACATTTGGTGGTGGACACAGGCCAGCATGGCCACCCTGACTGGTCTGGGGCTACACAGCGCCAAAAACAACAACCTGCGATGCTCTGTGTGTCAGACACTTTTCTATCAGAACCAACATTATTTCTTTAGCAATTTGAACTACAGTAGCTCTTCTATTGGATCGGACTACATGGGCCAGTCCTCACTCCCCACATGCATCAATGAGCCTTGGCCGTCCATTAACCTGTCATCGGTTCACCAGTTTTCCTTCCTTGAACAACTTTTGGTCGGTCCTGACCACTGCAGACCGGGAACATCCCACAGGAGCTGCAGTTTTGGAGTTGCTCTGATCCACTCGTCTAGACATCACAATTTGGCCCTTGTCAAAGTCCCCCAAATCCTCTCACTTGTCCATTTCATCTGCTTTTACTTCCAGGTGCCATGGTAATATATCCCCCCCACTTCCAGGTACCATTGTAATATCCCCATCCCCCCACACACACACTTCCAGATGCCATTGTAATGAGTTAAATAATGTTCTTCACTCCACCTCTCAGTGGTCAGGATGTTATGGCTGATGGCTGTATATTGACCAGTGTAAGTTTTGGCGTATGTGTCAGATTTCCTGTTTATTTTAGGATAGCTTACTTTAAAGAACTCGGAGAATGTCCTCAGATGCAAACACCACCCCTCACACACATTGCTATGCAGCTGAACTTTATTAATCAGTCTTTCATTAGCCACACTGCCGCTGACACAGATTTCTTTGTTTGGTATAATGTCACGAAGCAGAAGATACCATCGTACAGACGCAGATAGTTGCCTCGCATCGCTCCTCATTGCCCTAACATTTTAATAACAAAGGCCTCTTCTGTCACCTCCGGGATCTGATCTATGATTCCCCAAGACTCCCGTGGCGGTAGACGTGTTGCGTTGAATACAGAGCGTTCCTCTGTTTCAAAGCGGGAATAGATTTATCACATCGCCTAATTGTTGGTTAGTCCTCTTAAAAGCTATATTTTAGTTATCACTGAAGTTTGGTGGGTCAATCAGTGGTTCCTTTAAAGGGTTGAGGGGTTCAGTTTACAGGGGTACAGGATGGTGTTTGGGACAGATTGATTTCTAGGCATCCCATCCTGAACAGGGATTGGTGATGAGTCTCTAAGGTGAAGCCTGGCCAATGGATTTTGACTAGAGCACTGCAGACATATGAGATCATCGTGTGTTGCATGGGGCATGCTAGGTCCATGTGGGGTGTCCTGTAGAAGGTTTTCCCTCTTGGAATAAAAAATAAGTTATAGGCAGCTAACTTAGGAGCAGACATCAGAGTTTAGTACTAGAGTGCTCATAGTCACTTCACAAAGTTCAGATTTGCCCGGTGGTGTCTGCAAGTGCCCTTTTGATATTGACCCCATCAATTCAGTCAAAATAAGGCCAGTTTGGGGGAGGCCCTTTTGTGTTCCAGTATGACTGTGCACCTGTTCTCAAAGCCAGCTCCATACAGACATGGTTTAAAGAGTTTGGTGTGGAGGAACCTAACTGGCCTTCACAGAGCCCTGACCTCAACCAAACTGAACACCTTTGGGACTAATTGGAACCCAGACTGTGAGCCAGGTCTTCTCCTCCAACATCAATACCCGACCTTAGAAATGCGCTTTTGGCTGAATGGGCACAAATTCCCACAGACACCCTCCAAAAGCTTGGTTTTCAGAATGTGAACTCCAATAAGTTCATATAAGTGTGATGGTCAGGTGTCCACAACGGTGTGTGTCAGGGGCGTCCCGAGGCCGGGTCTCAGTATACCTCGAGCTGT